GAAAAGGGCGCGAGTCTAGGCGCGCTTCGGGCAGGGGCAGGACGCGCCCCGGGCAGGAAAAATAGTTCGGTGGGCCCTAGGAACAGTTCCCACGAGGGAACCTGCTCTGATACCATGAGAAAATGAGAACGAGAATGGGTGAACTATGAATGAAGTGGGTACAAGTACTAACCCTAATTGGGTTGTACCCCCTATGGGATACCCCACTACAGCCTACACAAAAGCATAAGCTATAATGTTCTGACATGAGCGATGTTCCACACTGTCGTGTTGTGATTGTATCCTAGATAAAATGACTATCAATTCCTCAGTTTGTGCAGGTGCATTTGCTGGTGTCGGTGCCGGTGCATTTGCTGTCGACTGCTGCCGTGCGGAATCATGCTCGGCGATAAGTGGTGCAATCTCGAGCATAGATTCCTCCATTTGGCGCATCATTTCATCGAGAGTCGCAAGCGTAATGCAACCGGTTTAGTCCATGGCGGAGGTGTCGGGCTGGCTTAGCGGTAGCCTCTGTCATGGCTGTATATGCTTACGACACAGTATACGAGCAGCGGAGCTGGGTGCTAAGGGACAGTATCCCCCTAAAAAAATGTGATAAGTTGGGAAGCGAAAGTATGTGCGCAGTCCGAAAGGGATCGTGGCTCTGAATACCAAGTGTTATGAGTGCAATTGAGTGATCTAGTCACCTGCGCAACTCTGTTTTACAACTCATAACATTCACTAAGAGAAAACCAAACAAGATATAGGCCAAAACAAAGGTGCAACACCAACAGCAAGGTGATATAACTACACTAAAATCAACTACAAGCACTTGGACAAAACATAGTTTGACGGTGCTGTCCTCATGCGAGACTAGATACATGGCCCTTCATCATGGGGCCAAGGAGGTAGTGTGGCTGAGGCGTTTGTTGGAGGAGATCGGTGCATGTCAGAGGGAGCCGATTGTGATGTTATGTGACAGTGAGTCAACTGTGAAGCTAGCCAAGAATGTTTGTATTCATGGGCTGACAAAGCAGATAAGGTGAAATTGGCATTGGGTGAGGAGGCTCCTACAGCAGCAAGCTGCATATATCTTCACCATTCACCAAGCGCCTCGCTGAACCGAGCATTGGAAGGGCATGAAGCCTGCTGAGATGAATGTGTATTGAATGTGCATGCATGAGCTGAGGCATGTGGGATGATGGTTGGCAGCTGGGAGTTTGTTATGTGATGCTATCATGTGCATTCACGTTTGTCTGCCTCCAACAAATTGGTGGGTGTCAGCCACCTTCAGGACCTTGGTGTCAGCACCTACTTTTCTTTGCACGAGCGTTTTGCGACCTACACCGACGGTGCGATTGGGGCACTTCTGGCCACGGGGAGCCATGCTCAGCTCTTTACTCTCTACGTACTGAGTCTCCTCAGGTAGCTGGGTCAAGTCAGATAGCTGCTGTGTCGTGCAACTGTTGGTTGCTCATCCCCCCCCATCGGTCCTCTGGCACCACCGTCTTGGTCACCCGTCCTTTCCGCGTCACAGAGATGGTCCGCCTCCATCTGTTCTTAAGTCTCCCAAAGTCAACCACCCCGCTTCCCCGCTCGCCTGCGCCACTGCGTACCCCCTGTGTGTCAAACATTATATATGTTGTGCTTGTTTAGGCTATAGTGGGTTAGCCTATATGGGGTACACAATTCTAGGGTTAGGTACTTGTACTGATTTCACTCTTAGTTCATTCATTCCTATTTGTTCATTTCAACATGGTATAGAGCAGGTCCTTCGCTAGGACCGTTTTTTTTAAGGGCCCACCACTACCTACCTACCTACCTACCTCACTGCGCCCTAGGGCGCCTCGTTTTTCACGGCCCTCTATGGCCCCGCGACCCGCCCCTTAGCGACTCGCGCGCCGCCCCTTAAGGCCCCGTCGGCCCACCCGCTCGCCCCTTAAGGCCCCGTCGGCCCACCCGCTCGCCCCTTACGGCCCCGCGCTCGCCCCTTAGCGACCCTAACGGCCCCGTCGGCCCCGCGCTCACCTCCCTAGAGGCCCCCGTATGCCCCGCGCTCGCCCTTAGCGGCCCCTTACGGCCCCGCGCTCGCCCCTAGAGGCCCCGAACGGCCCCGCGCTCGCCCTTAGCGGCCCCTTACGGCCCCGCGCTCGCCCCTAGAGGCCCCGAACGGCCCCGCGCTCGCCCTTAGCGGCCCCTTACGGCCCCGCGCTCGCCCTTAGAGGCCCCGATCGGCCCCGCGCTCGCCCTTAGCGGCCCCTTACGGCCCCGCACTCGCCCCTAGAGGCCCCGATCGGCCCCGCGCTCGCCCCTAGAGGCCCCGAACGGCCCCCCCCAGAACGAGCCGCCCGACCCGAGCAGCCCGAACCGAGCCGCCCAGCCCAAACCGAGCCGCGCCGCCCGAACCTGGCCGCGCCGCCCTTCCCGAGCCGCGCCGCCCTACCTGAACCGAGCCGCGCCGCCCGTACGGGACCGAGCCGCCCTACCTGAGTCGCACTGCCTACTGTTTTTGGGGTGCCCCTACTGCTAATACTCCTACTACTGCTATGGCTAGCCCTCCTATGCTAGCTTTCGATGCTGAGGGCTGCCCAGTGAAGTTCGAAACCTGGCTAGATGACCTACACCTCTTCCTACAGCTCACTGCCAAGGAGGACATCTCACTGTACGATCACGCCTTAGGCCATGCTACTGAACCTGCTGCTACTGCTGACAGCACTGCCCGCTCACAGTGGCAGACTCGTGACGCCCACGCTCGCTTCGCTATTTGCAACTCCCTGCCGATAGATGAGCGCGAGCACTTTGGGCAGCACAAGACTGCACAGGCACTGTACACTGCTGTCGTTGCCCGCTACTCCTCACCGGCCTCTGCCGCACTAGGCCGTCTCTCTCTTCCCTACCTGTTCCCCGACTTAGCCTCTTTCCACACAGTCGCTAACCTCATTACGCACCTCCGCACTAGTGAGGCTCGCTTCCGCGCCGCCATGCCTGATAAGTTCCTTGCCAAGAACCCACCCCCGCTCTGGCTCACTCTCTACCACCTCGTCACCCGCCTCCCTGACACTCTGCGCTCAGTCAGGGACCACTTCCTAGCTCGCTGCCCCACTGAGCTCACCATTGCCCTCCTCGAGAAGGAACTCCTTGCAGCTGAGGCTAGCATAGTCGCTGTAGGTGCCTCTCGTGGCGACCCCCGTACCCCGTTCTTTGAGGGGTGTTCTCCTTCCCCCCTTCTTCCCTCTGTCGCATCTGCTGCTGCTGTCGACCTCTTTGGTGCTGAGAAGGTCGGGACTGCGTCTGCTTCGAGCGGGCACCGCAGCGGCAAGGGCAATAGGGGCAAGGGCAGTGGCGGTGACAGCGGGGGAGGCGGTGGTGGGAGCGGTGGCGGCGGTGGGGGTGGTGGCGCGACTGGAGGGGCTAGTGGCAGCGGTGGGGGTGGTGGCGGCAGCGGCGGGGGAGGTGGCAGGGGCGGAGGCGGTGGTGGGGGTGGCGGTGGATGCAGCGGCGGCAGGGGTTGGGGCGGTCGAGGAGGTGGTGGCGTCGGTGGTGGTCGAGGAGGCGCTGGCGGTGGCCAGGGCCAGCAGCACACTCCGTCGCCCCAGGAGGTCCGTGAGTGGTACTCTCAGCACGGGGGGGGGGGTGGCTTTAGCTGCACGTACGTCATTCGCACTGGTGACCGCACTGGTCAGCCGTGTGGGGGACCGCACGCCACACAGCGCTGCTTCGCTCGTCTCAACAACGCTTGCCGTGTTCAGTTCCCTCAGGCCACTGAGCTGCCCCGCTGGGTTGATCTCCTGAAGAAGGGGATTGATATCTATGCTCTAGACTTTGATGCTATTCTCACTGCTATGTATGTGATGTCTACTAGTGGAGAGGGTGCTGAGTACCTGTGTGTGCCGCCCGACCCGGGCATTAGGACTAGTGCATCTGTCGCTCCAGGTACTCGCGTGTCTGCTACCCCAGGTGCTGGTGAGGCAGCTGCTCTAGGTGCTTGTGCGTCTGCCCCCCCTGGTACTGAGTCGACGGCAGCACTGCACACCTTCACACTGGACTCAGGTGCTTCTCGCTGCTTCTTTCGTGACCGCACTGCCCTTGAGCCGCTTGCTCGGCCAGTTGTTGTCTCCCTCGCTGACCCCTCTGGGGGTCCGGTCATTGCGACCTCCTCCACTCTCCTTCCCTGTCCTGCGGTCCCGTCGGGCACACTGTCAGGTCTCCACCTCCCCTCGTTCTCTACGAACTTGGTGGCAGGTAATGCACTCCAGGACGGGGGTGTTCACCAGTTCACCCCTGCCTACGAGCACGTGACACACTGCACGTGTGCTCGTACGGGCCGCCACTTGGCTACCTTCACTCGGCAGCGGAGGTCGGACCTGTACACACTGACCACTGAGTCCCCTCAGGTCGCTGCGTCTGCGTCTGCGTCCGCGTCAGGTCAGCTGTCTCTCCACTGCTCGTGTCGCTCTCTGGTGCACGAGACTGTCCTCTGGCACCACCGAATTGGCCACCCGTCTGTGCAGCGCCTTTGTGCCATGCACTTTCGGTACCTTGTCTCTGGTCTTCCCAGAGTCCTCCCTCCCTTCCCACCCTCGCCTGCTCCTCCCTGTCTTCCCTGCGTCGAGGGGCGGCAGCGCGCCGCTCCTCACTCCTCCTCGTTTCCCCCGACGACTGCTCCCTTGCAGACGCTCCACATGGACGTGTGGGGCCCAGCCCGCGTCCGTGGTCAGGGTCAGGAGAGGTACTTCCTGATAGTTGTTGACGACTACTCGCGCTACACCACGGTCTTCCCCTTGCGCACCAAGGGTGAGGTCCCTGATGTCTTGATCCCTTGGATCCGCAGAGCCCGTCTCCAGCTCAGCGAGCGTTTCCACTCGGACTTTCCTGTACTGCGCTTGCACTCTGACAGAGGTGGTGAGTTCTCCTCCGACCTCTTGGCAGCCTACTGTGCTGAGCACGGCATTGAGCAGTCGTTCACGCTTCCGGCCTCTCCACAGCAGAATGGGATTGCAGAGCGCCGCATTGGCCTGGTCATGGAGGTCGCCCGTACCTCCTTGATCCATGCGGCTGCCCCCCACTTTCTGTGGCCGTTTGCGGTCCGGTACGCTGCGCATCAGCTCAACCTCTGGCCCCGTGTCTCCTTGCCGGAGACCTCGCCCACACTGCTGTGGACGGGGGAGGTTGGCGATGCGTTGCGTTTCTGGGTCTTGGGATCTCGAGCTTTTGTCCGCGATACGTCTGCGGACAAGCTCTCCTCCCGTGCTGTTCCCTGCGTCTTCCTCGGCTTTGTCCCGGACGCGCCTGGTTGGCAGTTTTACCACGCCACCTCGCGCCGAGTCTTGCCCTCTCAGGACGTCACTTTTGACGAGTCCGTCCCCTACTACCGCCTCTTCCCCTACCGCACTGCCCCGCTCCCCCCCCCCCCCCCCCCCCCGCCTCTCTTCCTCGCGCCAGGTGCTGCTGTCGTAGACCCCCTCCCCCCTCAGGGTGCCGCTCCCTCAGGTGTGTCTCAGGTAGACCCGGTTGAGCCTGTTAAGGTAGCTGTCGACTCTCGTCCTGCTGTGGGTGCGGAGCCTGGGGGTGCTGAGCATGGGGGTGCGGAGCCTGGGGGTGCTGAGCCTGGGGGTGCGGAGCCTGGGGGTGCGGAGCCTGGGGGTGCGGAGCCTGGGGGTGCTGAGCCTTGGGGTGCGGAGCCTAGGGGTGCTGAGCCTGGGAGTACTGAGCCTGGGGGTGCTGAGCCGCAGAGTCCAGAGTCTGGGGGTTTTGAGTCTGGAGGTCCTGAGCCTGAGGGTCCTACACCTGGCGGAGCCCTCTCCTCAGAGCAGTTGCGTGAGTGGTACTTCCAGTACTGTAGCCTCAGGAGAGGTACCTCTGGAGCAAGGCGTACTACTTGGACTGGTGCTAGTGCTTCTCCTCCTAGCCGGGAGCTCCCCTCCCGTGAGCGGATCCATGAGTGGTACGAGCGGCGCTGCACTCCTCGGAGTGGCGCGCCTGGTGTCGCGGACCCCGCTGCTGCTAGTGGTGCTGCTGGTGCTGGAGACTCTACTGGTTCTGCTGGTGCTGCGGCCCAAGAGGTTGGAGTTGTTTCTGGTGCTGCGGACCCGGGCGTTGGAGCTACGGCTGGTGCTGCGGACCCGGGCGCTAGTGCTGCTGCTGGTACTGAGGACCCGGGCGTTGGAGCTGCTACTGGTACTGAGGACCCGGGCGTTGGAGCTGCTGCTGGTGCTGAGGACCCTGGAGCTGGTGCTGTGGAGTCGGGCGTTGGAGCTGCTGCAGGTGCGGAGGACCGTGGCGCTGGTGTCTCGGCTGGTTCTGGAGTCGCTGCACCGCAGGCGGCCGTACTTCATTCCGCTCCTTCAGCACGTTCTTGATATCCCGCCTACTCTCGGTCCTCCTCCTCCCTTAGAGTGTCCACAGCCTGTTCAATCATAGTTACAATTACAGCCCGCCTCCCCACTGCCTGCTCCTTCTCCCTACACTGGTCCTACTGGAGGTCTTGCTGAGCATCGTGAGCCTGCGTCTCGCCCTGCGTCGCCTGTCAGTACTGCTCGCACTAGTGGTTGCGGTTCGCGTCAGTGTCCTCCTCCTGTCCCTGGCACGCACCAGATGTCTCTGCGTCCGTCCACTGCTCCTCTGCGTGCCCCTTTGCCTTCTCCTCCTAAGTCCTCTCTTCCTGCTCTTGCCGACTCAGAGTCGGACTCTCTTCGTGCTGCGAGTCCTATTGTCACGCGTCTCCTTGCTACTGTCGTCACTGACCCTTCCTTTGAGTCCACTGCTGCGTCTGCCCTAGTTGCTGAGCTCGTCGACTTTGCTGCTCGCTGTCGTCTAGACTACGCTGCTAGTCTTGTCGCTGAGTCTGAGTCTGTCTGTCCTCCGTTCGTCGGGGGTGAGTGTGCCCTTGGCACGGACGTCCTTGAGGACAGGCAGGAGGAGTTCCAGTGCTTGGCCGCTGCTTCACCTCATCTCGTGTCCGTACTGCTTACCCCTGAGGGAGACCCGGATGCACTTGACATCCCGACTCCGCGCTCTTACGCGGAGGCGTTAGAGGGTCCCTACTCCTCTCAGTGGCAGGCAGCTATGGATGCAGAGATGGCTTCCTGGAAGTCCACAGGCACCTACTTTGACGCTGTCCCCCGTCCTGGGGCAAACATTGTCAGTGGAATGTGGATTTTCAGGGTGAAGCGGCCGCCGGGTTCTCCGCCTGTTTTCAAGGCGCGTTACGTGGCTCGTGGCTTCAGTCAGCGGCAGGGAGTTGACTACTTTCAGATCTTCTCTCCCACCCCGAAGATGACCACTCTTCAGGTACTGCTGCACGTAGCTGCTCACCGTGACTACGAGCTACACTCTCTTGACTTCAGCACTGCTTTCTTGCAGGGCAGCCTGCACGAGGAGATCTGGCTACGCCGCCCACTTGGCTTCACTGGGACTTTTCCTCCTGGCACCCAGTGGAGCCTCCGGCGGCCAGTCTACGGTCTCCGCCAGGCACCGCGTGAGTGGCACGACACACTAAGGACTACGCTTGCGGCTCTTGGGTTTGCTCCCTCTACTGCCGACCCGTCGCTGTTTCTACGCACCGACACTTCTCTGCCGCCGTTCTACATCCTTGTGTACGTCGACGACTTGGTCTTTGCCACAGCTGACACTGTTGGACTCGCCTACGTGAAGTCCGAGCTGCAGAAGAGACACACGTGTACAGACCTGGGTGAACTGCGCAGCTACCTTGGCTTGCAGATCACCCGGGACAGAGCACGCCGCACCATCACCCTGACTCAGTCACACATGGTGCAGCAGATCCTTCAGCGCTTTGGCTTCACGTACTCCTCGCCTCAGGCCACTCCTCTGCCTACTCGCCACTCACTCTCAGCTCTGCCTTCGGATGAGTCCGTAGAGTCGAGTGGTCCTCACTGGTCACGCAGACGCTTCTTGGGCTGACGACCAGGCTACGCAGCGGTCGTCACAGGGTTACACCTTCAGCCTTGGTTCCGGCTCTGTTTCGTGGCGGGCTACTCGCTCGTCTTCTGTTCTCGGCTCCAGTTGTGAGGCTGAGATCTACGCAGGGGCCATGGCTGCTCAGGAGCTTCGCTGTCTCACCTACCTGCTGACCGACCTTGGAGAGCCGCCTCGTTCTCCTCCAGTCTTGTACGTAGACAACAAGGCTATGCTGGCCTTGTGTCGAGAGTAGAGACTGGAGCACAGAACAAAGCACATTGCTCTCCGCTACTTCCTTGCTCGTGAGCTGCAGCAGCGTGGTCAGTTGCGGCTTGCGTACGTGGCCTCTGAGGCCAACACTACTGATGTCTTCACCAAGGCACTTGCGCCTTGTGATCATCAGCGCTTCTGTACCCAGCTGGGTCTTGTGCCTATCTTGCCTCACTTGCTCACCTCTTGACCTTGCTTGTACTGTTATATATATATACCTGCTCTTGCTTGTCTAGCCTTATATATATATATACGTACTCCTGCATATGAACTGGCCTTGTGGCCTTGAACTTGTGCTCGGAATGTGTGGTGACTTTGTGATCCACCCTGAGCTTGCTTTGCTTTGCTTTACTTGACTGGTCTTGTGACCCCTAGTTCTCCCCCACTTCGCCTATGGGGGTGTGTCAAACATTATATATGTTGTACTTGTTTAGGCTATAGTGGGTTAGCCTAAATGGGGTACACAATTCTAGGGTTAGGTACTTGTATTGATTTCACTCTTAGTTCATTCATTCCTGTTTGTTCATTTCAACACTGTGTACCTCGTGCATCGCACCACCATTGCCCGTTGCAGGCGCTGCACATGGACGTTTGGGTTCCCTCCCCAATCCTAGGGCCACAGGAGCGCTAATTCCTAATCGTGGTGGACGACATCTCCTGATACACCACAGTGCTTCCCTTGCAATAGAAGGTCAACGTGCCTGACGTCCTCGAGCCGTGGTTACTAGAGATCAGTGCCCAGTAGTGCCGTCTTGTGCTTCGTCTACACTTCGACCGTGGTGATGAGTTGCGTCCGGCCTCGACTGGTTTTGTCAGGGTCAAAGGATCACTCAGACGTACACGCAACCGGACTCGGCACGACAGAAGGGGATTGTTGAGCGACGCAACGGCTTGGTGATGCAGGTTGCCCTCACCTCTATGTGCCATGCAGGTGCCCTCCATTTTATGTGGCCTCACCAGTCCGCTACGCTGCGCACCAGCTTCACATGTGGCCCCGTACTTCACGCTGACGGGTAACGCCGACCCTCATTTGGTATGGGTCTCGTGGAGTGGCAGTTGCGTTCGTGTCTGGGGTTCTCTGGCTCGCCTTCGCAACCCTGGCGCGGACAAGCTGCCTGTTCGCACCCGCCCTTTCATCTTCCTAGGTTTCCCTTTCAATGCTTTAGCTAGGCAATCTAAGACCCGGCAACCTTGGTTCTTTGCCTCCCAGGACGTCACTTTCGACGAGTCGGTTTGTTAATGCAGGAGTCTGCCCCACTGAGGTTCTAAGGTCTTCTCTCCTCCCCAGTTCCTCTCCCGTCCTGCTCCTTCAGGTGTGTCGCACGTTACCCCGCAGTCCTCATCTCCCCAGCTACTGTCACCACAACACCCGGCCCCTGTCGACTCTAGGGGTGCTGGAAGTGTAGCTGCGGAGGATGCAAAACCTGGGGGTGCTGGAGCTGGTGGTGACGGCTCTGGGGGTGCGAGAGATGCAGGTGTGGAGGCCCCTCCTATGGAGGCCACAACTGCCTTGCGTGGGAGGCCCCAACCCGCCTCCCCCCTGGTTTCCCGCCCCTTGTGCACTTCCCTCCCCGTTCACCTTTGCAGCCGGCCGTTGCGGGGGGTGTTCCTACAGGGGGTACTGAAGGCGCTGGGGGTGTTGGTGTTGGTATTGATGTCAACGTAGTAACGGGATAATGAATGGGGATAACAAGGGCATACAAGGGTTGATTTAGCAAACCCGAACCCTAGTGCTAGGACAAATGTAACACAATGTAGAGCACCTAGAAAAAAAACTAACAAACTATAACAATTATAGTATGACACACCCCTATAGTCTAGGTGACGGTAGTCCTATAGAAAGCAACACACAGTCTACGAGCAAGGGTCACATGACTAGTCAGCAAGAACAACCAACGGTCACAAGACCAGTTCAAAAGAACAAAACAAATCTCAAGGTGGATCTCCAGGTTACGACACAGTCTGAGAAGAAGCAAGAGGCCACATGGCCAGTCCACATGTAAGGACATAGCAAATATATAAGATGCAAGAATACAAGACATGCACGACAAGCATCTCTATGAAAGCAAGGGGCCATAAGGCCAGTCCATAAGTAGATGCATCTCTACGCAAGAAAGTAAAGGCCGGTAGACACAAGGCCTATCTAGGTGCAGAAACGCTGGTGGTCATAAGGCTACAACGTCTTGGTGAAGATATCTGTAGTGTTGGACTCAGAAACCACACATCGTCTGCGTGCCTGGACACGCTGCTGCAACTCTCGCTGAAGGAAGTAACGAAGCTGGATGTGCTTCGCCTTCCCAATCAGTCGGGGCTCCTCGCACAATAGGACAGCAGACATGTTCTCCGCGAACAAGATTGGGGGAGAGCGAGGCCGCTCACCAAGGTCGGTGAGGAGGAAAGACAGCCAGCGAAGCTCTTGGGCGGTCATGGCCGCAGTGTAGACCTTAGCCTCACAGCTGGAACTGGAGACGGACGACGCCCGAGTCGACCTCCACGAAA